GTTAGGCAAAATCTATGTGTTTCTTTCCAACTTTTAATCAGCTTGGTGAAAATGCATGGCATTCCGACTGATACTCCAAACTATACACACAAAAGTCATAACAAGCAGCTAGCAAGGTCTTGAAGGAAAGGTACTATTTTGGGGTTGCTTGTCCCTAAAGGAATACTGCTTTATTCTTTGAATCAACCCACTTGATGTCTGGTCGAAGAAAGCCAAATTTCTGTACCCTGAGCTGTACAGCCTGTAAAGATCACAAAAGGGGCAAATCATTCACAGACAGCAGTTCCATTTAGGACATGGTAGGCAGTTCAGAAAGAGATCAAGGAAGAAGAAACATCATTCAAAGTGTGACCTTCAAGCTCACAGACATGAGAAGACAGCTAGCACAGGCTAAGTGTGATGGGAATTTCAGACTCTGTTTGTTCCCTGCACTGCTGCACAAGGCTCAAAACACAGACAGAAGCTTCATACAAACATTCAAAAAACCCTCTAGCCCCAGTGGGATTAAGTACACATATGTTTCCCTCTACTCCTGTCAGATTCTATTTGTTACTTTCTTATGAAAAGAGGGGCAGCTTTAGTAAGGGGTGAGTTTTTCCTCCTTTCTGGCTTTGGTAAAATGTACAGAAATTCTGTCTATCACAACAGTAAAGAAGTTGCAGTAACACTGGTCTGCAGCCATCCACTTCAAGTGCATCCAGCAAGTAAAAGAAGTGCTATGTATACTGTCCTCTTCCTGGAATATAGACACTCCATGTTATGATTTACTATGGTTCAAATTAGTTAAAATGTTTTCATCCTTTTAATTATGCTGTTTCAAACTTTATCCACTGATCTATCTTACATCAGTTTCCTCCATGCTTACATCCATGCTGTATTAACATTTGCAAAACATAAAGTTGGTTGTTTTGCAACTAGCTGTTTATTTACAGCCATTGTTTTCAACAGTAGAATAAAACAGGACCAGAATAATTCTTCCACTAATTCTCCCAGGGAGATCACAAGCCTTCTCCTGCCCTCATTACTTTGGTTCCCTTGTTATTTTTCAGTTTCATAAGCTGGTTAGATGGAGTCAGACATACACAAAAAATGATATAGAGACATCCTGGCAGACTTCAGAGAATTCCACCATAAGAACTTTCACATCCTCCAGCAGGCAAACAAGCCAAGGTATTTTATAAGAATAACCCTCAAATGCTAATGAATACATTTAAGAAATTAACTGAACCATTCAACATTCATGCTGCAGCATCTTGCAAAAGCCTGAAAGCCTCACCTCCAGACTGAAGCAACCAAAAGCTCCACACAAAGCTGTTTTCAACAGACTCCATATAAAAAAGTGCTTAAAATGTACACAAGCAGAGAAAAAAAGAGATATCTAGGTTTCCAGTTACCCTGATGAATTTTTCAGTGCTACCTGGAAGTCTAGCACACCATTCACAGACCAGTGTACTTTTTCATGCTAATCATATTTTAAATCTGCTCTTGCACAGATTGCAGATGAGCCCTAAACTAATACAGTTCCTGAAATCAATCATCAGAACTTGCTGTCTCCCCAGGTTCTAGAAGACAAGTGAAAAGAAGCAACACACATACATTAAAAAAACTTCCTCATATGGTGCAACCCAACTCCAGGTAGAAACCAGAACAAACACAAACAAAATACTCTGGTCTTATTACTGGTGGTGAACAAGTAAACTGATTTGCTTTTTGTCTTTTTCTGCTTCCACAGTTTGGCAAGGTAACTGAGTGAAATGAACATATTCCAAGCTGTCCTCTCATCTTAGATAGACAACATGAAGAGAAAAGCAAAAGAGAGGTTATTTTTACCTCTTTTTACAGCTCTTCCATACATCTTGTTAAGAGGTTGATCAGAACAGCCAATGGACTGAAGCTTGCAGAGACATGGGGCTCCTTATCACATAAACTAGATTCCTTTCTGCTCAGGTAGTTACAGGAAGAAGGCAAGGGGAGGCATGTTGGCTCTATGGCACTCTGTGGCTGCTCAGCACAGAGTTTCCAGGTACAGCCAGTTCTTATGCATTGTAGTTCAGACAACAACCTCTCATGCCACATCTCCTTCTGAAGAGATTAGATACCGTCAGTCCCAGACTCCAACCATTTTCAAGCTCTGTAAGCACAGAATTATTCAGCATGGACACAGTGCAAGTAGGGGACAGATGATGCCCATGAAAAAAAATAGGATAAACAAGCACTAAAAAATATGATGTATAAAAAAAAGTATTCAATACGATGCAAATGCCTTCCATGAACCCAAATGGGATGAAAATTTTATCCCTTATATAAAGGTATTTTCTGCAGGACATAAAGTATAGTGGTGCCTATTTGCATACTTTTGTCTAATCTTAATAGAACACTTTTTCCCTCTTTTCATGTATAAGGCTAAATTAAAAACACCACTGAATGCCAGTCTGATTGATCCAGTTACTGGGTGATTAGTTTTTTTGTTGTTGGTTTTTTTTTTTCCTAAACTACTCCCTAAGGAAGAGTGGAGAGACCTTTAATGATAAGGTGTCTGAGGTGACAGTATTGTGCGTTCATAAAGCAACAGAAGAATGAAGATCTGTCTCTTATGAATGCAAAACATGCATTCAAATTTTGGGAAATATTTGATGAGATTTAAAAAAAAAAAATTAAATAACTATTTTCCAAGGCAATCTGGATATTTTATTTTCCCCATTACCCCACAGCACCAAATATGAAACAATGTCTATATGCAAAGTTGGAAATAATTTTGCTGTCACTGAATTCAAAGGCATACGACTCAAGGAGTTCACAGATCTGATTCTTTTTTTTCCCCAGAACTTCACATTATACTGATCAAAATTTAATGTAAAAAAAATTCTCTTCACCTTTGCATTATTTTACTTATAGTCAAATACCTTAGGTTGTATTAATTACCAACAAATATTTATGCAGCACACTTTTCAGAGGAGGCAATATTATTATTCTGGGTCTGACTTATCAAAATGGTGCTATGATCTCAGGCCATTAAGTATTGCCTTAATATAGTAAACATACTGATTATATTAATTAAGAGAGTGTCTGGGATGCAATGTCATGGATAGAGCTATACTTAGAAGTTCAGGTGTGAATGAATGCAAACTCTGGAGGAGTTTGAGGTTCACATCACAGAAGAAGGAAGGTCATTTGTTTCTAATAAAACATTTAACAGTTATTTGTAGCTCACACTGACATTCCACAATTGCCACACATACTATGCCTGTGATTAGTTTCTGAAGGAATGTATGTGAACTGTGAACTCGTATTACTGCTCTTGGTAACCATCACTGATTATATTTAGAGAATAAAATAAACTGCACACATGAGATTGCTGCCTTCTCATAATTTCACAGTCATTATCCAGAAAGTGTACCCTTATTAAAATATGACCTACATAATCAAATTGCAACACAAGAACCACCGAAGTCAACCTTACTGATCATCTAATACTTATTTTTGTGCAAAAAGTTCTACTTGAAAATATGAAAACATGGCTGCCATATTGAGTCCTCCCAAAAAGGTAATTAAGTTTCTTATCAGACAAAACAAATCTTTGCACATTCACCCTCAGGGTACAGTTTACTTCCTAATTTCTCCAATGTGTTGAAATACACGTGCAAATTTTGGAAAATGTAATAAACATTTGGCTTTAAAGAGCTCACATTAGATGCTGCCAATCACCGCTCTCATTCAGCTTCCACTAACTTGCTTTCTATTTGCAATTCAGAAAGCTCTATACAAAAATAAAATTTACATTTAACATTTGTTCAGTTGTTGAAAGTTTTTTATAGTATCTGGCCAAGACTATGAGCTGCAGGCTCAGTGTTGTTTTTCAGGATATTTTACAATGACTGTTCTCTTTAATGTTACCAAAAGACCACAACAAAAAGAGGTGAGGGAAAAGGTTACCATCCCTGGACCATCTAAACTTCTGCTCTGCTCAATCCTCATCTGTTTCAGGAGTTATTCTCTAAGTAGAATATAGAAATACCAAATATACAGTAGGTATCTCTGAAAAGTGTACTGCCAAGGATAAGCCAGTCACTAAAGTCTGTATCCTTGTGGTACTGTATCATAAGCAGTACTGAGAAATATGGTTAACAGGAGCCTAGGAAAAGTCTAGTTACCTCTTCCTCCACAGACCCTCAACTACATATCCTAAGAATAAAAGTTAATTTCTTTTATGTACAGTAAAGAAACATTTAGCCCTCATTTTTCTTTTATTTTTCTTTTATTTCTTCCTTTCTCTTGTCTTTTTTTTTTTTTTTTGATTACAGTTCTACCAATATCTCGAAATTATGTTTGATGAGATCAGTAAAATAATACAGTAATGGAGTTATAGCCCTTTGTACACCCATGCTACACATCCTTCCATCAGGCTGTAAAATTAAAAAAACGAATAAGTGGAAGAGCCGAGATGTCTCCCTCCCAAAGGGTCTTGACCACTTGCCATCCTCTCCAGCTGCCACTTACCAATGCACACACAGAAGCTCACAAAAATGCATCCGACAAACAGTCCTGTAAATCAGCAGGCACTGGAAATGCACCTTCTACCCTTGCCATTGTTTTTCTTCACATCTATTTCCTTAAGGCAACATTTGCAGTACGCTTTTATACAGCATAGATTCTCATCAAATATTTGTAATCTATGTCATATCAAAATAAATTTAACTTCCTACATTCTTCCTCCCTACACTGACTCAATATTTTACTCCAGGAGATGTTGCATGTGGCTATTCAGTAGAATGGAAAGAAATGGCATTTGTCATAAGAAAAAAGAGTAGAATAGCTTGATCCAAAATTCTGTATTTCCACCTGCATCTGTTTCTGCCTTTACTTACCTGATGAATGAATGAGACACTAATTGTGATAGTCATTCATTTGGTTATCTTAACTGTTCTTGGTGCAGAAGCCTAATGTGTAAGCTCATACAATCCACAGCTATTATGGAAGTCATAAGAAACAACAATGCTTACCTTTCATCCCAAACTTAGAGTGTCTTCCAAACTTCAGAATAATGAGCATTATTACTAAGCCAGTGCATACCAGTGCTGCAATTCCCACCACAACATACACCTATAAAAAGAAGACACAAATAGGTCTATTTGTTTTGCTCTCGTGAACTATCTTCAAAGACATTCATCTTTATTAACCCAGTTATTAAGAGATTCATTTCAAACAAGAGACATTTGCACCCAGATCAAAGATGACAGAAAACTCCTACTTGTTGAGGTTTCTTCCACCCTATGGAGACTAGAGATTCAGAGAACTTCTGAGAACCACTTTTTCAACATCCTACATGTTCAAGGTGGTGAAGGGACACAGAGTGGCATGTTACAGGAGAGCAAAAAAGTAAAACATGTCAGAAAAAAAACTGCACCCAGTTCTGAAGCCCCATGACAGGAAGGACAAGGAGGAGGAAGAATGAAGATGATCAGAGGGCTGGAGCACCTCCCCTACATGAACAGGCTGAGAGAGCTGGGGCTCTTCTGCCTGGAGAAGAGAATGCTCCAAGAAGACCTTATAGCAGTCTTCCAGTACCTGAAAGGGGACTACAGAAAAACTAGAGAGGGACTTTTTATAAAAGTAGGTAGCAGCAGGACAAAGAGAAATGGTTTTAAACTGAAAAAGAGTAGATTTAGACTAGAAAACAAGAAATTTGTTACTGAGAGGGTGGTGAGACACTGGAAGAAGTTGGCCCGTGAGGTTGTGGATGCTCCCTCCCTGAACACATTAAAGGCCAGGCTGGATGGAGCCTTGTGCAACCTGGTCTAGAGGGAGGTATTCCTGCCTATAGGAATGAGGTTGGAACTCGACAATCATAAAGGTCTCTTCAAACCCAAACCATTCTATGATTCTATGATTTACTGTGAGAGTGGACTACCACAGATTGCCCAAGCTGGCCGTGGAGCCTCCAACCCTGGAGATATTAAAAACAGAGACCTGCAACTGCTGTTGCCAGCCTGTGGGTGAGGAAACCAGACAATTTTCAGAAGTCTCTTCCAATCTCAGCCACTCAGTGGTTCTATTATCAGAGGAGATAAGAGTGCCTGAGATCCTCCCAGTATTTCAGCACAGTCTATCACCATGAAGCATTCACTGAGACAACACCAGCCAGCAGACCTTCCTTTCTTGCCTTTCCCCAGATTGCAGCTGGCTTCCTGAGCCACAGCGCACAGGCTTTCCCCCACCTGCTACTGTGCAGAGTGACTGGTGTTGGGGCAGCCATGTTAACTGTTTACCTGCTGCTGTTCTCCAGCAGCTCAGTAGAACAGCATGAGATGCAAGGATACAAGAGAGGAGACCCACCAACACAGCTGCATGTGCTGTTAAATACAAGTGTTCTTATAAAAAAAAAAAAAAAAAAAAAAAAAAAAAAAAAGATAAAATCACATTTTAGAGATGAAGTTAAGTGTCTGAAAGTTCATTACAGTATGACCTCTCCTGAGGAGAAGCTGAAGGACTGGTATTCAAACAACAATTTTTAAATTGCCTTGGATGTCTTTGTTTTGTAAATAAAGAGTTGCTCTCTTTGACTTAAATTAGAAGCAGAGTCTTGGCCTGAAAATTTACACTTACTTGCTCAGAAGAGCATGAAACAAATTAAATAGCAATTTCACTTGGGAAGTAATTCACTCTTTCAAAAGTGGGGATGAGGGTCAGAGTGGGGGGCTCTAACATTTTCTTTTTTCTGATTTTGGGTCATCTTGTGGTAATAGCTCTGGTTTCTAGTAGCATAGGGTCCTATTGCAATCTCCACAGTCTCACTGGTTGTATACAGAAAGTCTGCCAAGATTAGGGATCAGGAAACAATGTATATACTTACAGTGATGCTATCTTCATTCTCTTTGTTGGAAACATCCGGAGAAGTGATTTGATTACTGTTATTTGTGGTGTCTCCAAGATCATTAGGCGTGGTTTCATACTCTTAAGAAAGGGGGAAAAAGGGTTGCTTTTATTATTTTTTTAACTTCAGAGGGGAAAGTTGTCTTTATTATTTCATCTCTGCAACACAGTAAAGATCAATAGCACATCTCAATACATACTTGCTTTTGTATCTGGTACACTCTGGGGGAGATCCCTGTCACAGACAATTTTAAACAAATGTGTTGTGACTGACAGACTTGAAAACAGAAGCTTGCTCTCTCTGCAGCTTTTCAGAGAAGCAGTCTATGCCATCATCTCTCTACTGGAAAACCTAGAGTTAAATAAGAACTCCATTCATAAAGCTATTTTTATGCGTTTCTGACTTCCCATTAAAAATGAAAGACTGCCCTCTACACTGAACTTCTCCAGCCTTGTATTCAGCCAAATATAGGACTGTCTTAGAAATTAGCATGGGGACTTCTGTCTAGCTGAGGTGAACTCAGCATGGCTTTTTAGCTCATTTATAACTATCAAATGTGAAATAGCAGTTTTTCTTAGTTTAAAAAGTAATTAAAAAATATTATTGAGTGCACAAGGGTTACAGTCTAGCATGACAAACTGTTATACAGATAAACCTTTAAAGAATTATATGCCTGAAACGGTATGAAGAAATTTGATTTATCAAAGTATTCCTACTGACAGATTTAGAGGTGTGCATTTGAATCTATTCCATCAAAAGAATGAACAGGCTTCAATTATTTATAATTATTTAAAAATGAAACAAATATGTTTACAGTCCATGATTTTCTGTCAAATTTATTCCAATGAGATAAAAATAATTAAATACTATTCATATTTACTTAGAGATACATACATTAAAATACAGAACAGAATATATTTTAAGATTACATCTGGAAATATACATAATGTTTCAATTTTATGACTGCAGTGTGTGCAGATGAAAGAAACAAGGGCAATAACCGCATCTATTACTAATGCACCTCCAGCATTGTAATTTAAATTAGCAATTAATTGTGTATTTCTTTGTACATTTTGATTAAAAACAGTTCCATGAGCCTACAGATGAAATCATAGCTGTGAATATGAAAAATGCAAAGTGCAGAGGCACAGCTTTCAGTAACCGCAGAGGCACTAACCCTTGCTACTTAGCACTGGGAGGAAGGGAGGGCTGCGCCTTGGTAAAATTTGTCTTCCTTAGCTCCCAAGGCCATTCTGGAGAGCTCAGCTGGCACTGGTAGCAACAAGCTGCACCAGGTTTTTGATCTTCATGCATGCACAAACACATTTTCTGTCTGCAAAACACTCAGCAGGCTGCAGATTTTTTTGGATGTGAACCCACACTCTGCCACCAGTTCTACAGTCAGTACAGTCAGGTTGTCTAATCAGCTCACGTAGTCTGCTCTGGCTCTACACCACACATGCCGAAGGACAGGATTTTTTCAAGTCAAAATACATATTAAGTCTACAGAGCTTTCATGGGAAACAAAATTTAATTTCCTGGTCCTTTACCATTTGAACTCTCCAACTCAACACTGTATCTATGTCTACAGCTTCCTCGACGATGAGGTCAAAATACTAATGAAAGGCAAACAAACAGCATTCCTAACTCTAGGCAGCATAAGCCCTATCCAAATGGCTCACCTGCACAAGCAGCCAAGCCTCTGAGACAAGGAGCTGTGCAGACCAGCCTCTTACTACATGTTTTGCCACAGCAAAGGAGGAAACTTCTGTTTTATTCATTTGTAGTCAGTGCACAGGCTCTTCACCAGGGCAGAATTCTGTTTATAACAAGCAACTCAGCTTATGAGACTGGGCTTCCTGTACAACTCACTAAGATAGTTTTGATCAAGCCCCTACTTACAGTAGCTTTATAACAAGACCAATAAATAAAACAAATATTTAAAGCTTTCACTAGTCACTATAACACAGATTTTCAAGAGAGTTTTGGTTTGTTTTTTTTTTGTTGTTGTTAATCTTACCTGTAAATCATGGAAGGTAAAATATGATGCTCTTCGCCATTCTGTTTATATTTAAATTTGTCCTAAGCTACTGGGAAACATATCCTGAAGGACTAATGAGAACTATGCAAAGCATTTCAAGTCTGGCACGTGAATCCTCTGAATACACTTTTACGTTAAAATGGGCAAGAGAAAATGTAGGCCGTTTCAGTACACTGGTGTTGCATTGCCATTTCCCAGTGTATAAGTGTGAAGCATTTACTTGTGAATTATTGCCAGATTTTCAAGTTGTACTGAAATGGGTGAGCCAGGCAAGGAAAACACAACAACAGCCATCCAGCCAAAACCAGGCAATTCTGACTTAAACAAATTCTTGTTCACTTCATTACAAAATCCTGCTACAGACACATAGCATTCTGATAGAGACAGGGTCACGCCTCTCAACTCACACTCTCTGGGACTTGTATCGCTCCAGGGCCAGATTTCCTGGTGCCTAGCACCTTATGCATCACCTATAACCGTGCCAACATCTTGAGCTGGCAGTATCCTGACGCTGTTCTATAAGCAAGGTGCTAAGCAGCTGGGACACAGAAGATCACCACAGTGAGAACCAGGGAGTCATTCTGCACAGCTCCTTTGGGGCTGAGTGCTTCAGGGCACACCGTCTCTCACGTAACCATGTTAGAAGCAGCATGTCATGGAGACATGAGCTAGAAGCAAAAGAAGATGGCTTGGCATCAGTTCCCTGCTCAGCCTCAGGCAGGTGGCACTGCCTTCCACTGCCTCTCCCCATGCAGCATCACAACAGCTCTCCTCTTCACCTTTTGCAGGAGGCCCACACTAGCCACAGGACCGAGACAAGAACCCCAAGAAAACACAGCATGGCACAGGCTGCTGCTGCCTCACCAGATCTGTTTCCCACAGTATTTTTAAAACACTTAATGAGAAGCCTTTGGAAACTATCTCATAGGGAGTGCAGGACACAGAAGGTCAGGTCCTGAGGGACTGACTGGGCCATAAACCTTCCTTTTAGCACCATCCAAGCTGTGAGTAAACATCAGCACAGGGATCAAGCCATATGAACGGGAGTCATGGAAAAGGCTCCATCTCCAGGGGGAGGCAATCCCAGCGGGTCCCTGACCACCACGCAGGCCCTGCTTCTTCGCGGAAGTGAAGGAGTTTCTTGTCTTTCCAGCCTGCCTTATGTATTAATCTCACCAACTGGGCTTGTGAATTCAGAATAATTAGGGAAACACTCTAGACTGCAAAGCGTTTCTCAAAGCAAGCACTGAGTCACTGAAGCAAAGATCAAAGACAGCTATTTCAAAAAGCAGAGAAAAAAGCCAGAAATAAAAAGGAATACTGCTTTCATCAGGACAAGATCTTGCTGGCTCAGATTCACTTGCACAACTCAGAGCACACATTTCAACAGAGCCTAACAAAGTCATTTGAAGCACAGTGCTCGCAAGGTGAGAGCCAGACACATGCACTAGGACCTGGGCAAAAAGCTCAGAACCACAGTCTCCATGTATGTACTTTATATAATAGAATGTAAGTCAGAACCTGTGCCAATGGCTACCACCATATGCATCCCTCCACAAAAATAATACTTTGCAAAGAGAAGAAGGGGAAGTGTTTTGTATTTCTGAGCACTTTAAGCCAAAATGATGCTTCAATTGCACATTTGCTAAAGTTTAATGACATGGAATGGAATCAAAGCAATAACATTTAAATCAGCTTAAGGAAACTTGAGTTATGGGCCATTTCATCCAAATAAAAGTACTCCAAATAGGATCAAGCTCCCAATAGAAGCTAAGGGGTGTTTGGGTATGTTAGTTAGGATAGACTTTCATGATCACCAGAACTGTTAGGTAAAACTAACTGGTTGTTTTTTCTGCTTATGGCTTCTATTCCAATGTATGTTTACTTTCACTAGGTATAGTCTACAACATTTTGCCTAAAAAGCTGATGTGAACACCATGTCATCGAATCTTCTGGCACTCACTCAGATATCACTGAGCTGATGCTCTGCTTATGCAAGAGAGATTAAAGTAAGGTACAAATGAGAGAGCAGAGAAAAATAAATTGCCTACAGGAAAACTTACTTGTGCCAACTTCATTTTTAAGTGGGATTTAGGGGTACATTTTTGGAGGCTAAACAAGTACGGAAACATTCCTGAAAAATAAATTAAGTTATATAAGGAGAAATCATGAACTTCCTTTCCTCTGCAAAATGCCTCACCAAATCTCATGCCTGTGAGCTACATCAGACAGCTGTCACTCTACAGGACCAATTGCAAACATTTGTAGCGGTGGATTTATGCCTTTCCTAATATGAATCAAAAGCAGCAGGACAAGTAAAACGTCATATTGCCCTCACTGATTTTAAATAATATAAAGCAGGAGAAGAATGAACAACACAAAGTACCTTTTAGAATTGTATTGTAATATGTGCCATTTCAGTTTAACTGAGGTTGACATACAATCTTTTAGTAGTTTGAGTTTCTACATTTCTATCATTAAAAGAAAAGAAAAAGAAAATCAAATATATACCATAAACGTCTGGATCCACAATTGGGCCACTACCTGTACATGGAGAAGAGAAAAAAAAAAGAAAGAAAAAGCCTTTGTAAATAGATTGCAAATGCTAGAAGAACAAGAGTTTCTTTAGTGTTTTTTAAAGGTTGACATGTTATTTGCAGTAGCAGTTACCAGTACCTGCATAAATACAAAGCAGCATCAACATATTGCACTACCTGTTTATCAGATTACATTTAAAATATTTTATAGCTATCCCCAGTGTTAATGCTTAGCTTTCTGTGAAACAGCTAATACACACAGTATTGGCTCTTCTAAAGGCAGAAATATTTCCCAACTGGGCAAAATGCTCCCAATGTATACCTGGAATAGGAGAAACAATAACTATTCTTGTTGGGAATCAATGACAAAAATCTCCCTGACCTTAGGAGGAAGCAGATTCCAGTGACAATTACAATCACTGGCTCTTACCTGGTCAAAAAACTTGCAGTATAAGCACTGTGAGAGCAAACTGCCTTACAGTTGCATCACTGTGAGCTTTCAAGGTAAGGGCTAGAGTTAGCAATGACCTAACCATCACCAACTCATTCACTCTGGGAAAGGGTGCAACTCAGAAATAGCTGCATAGCTGAACTGCAGGCAGAACTCAATATAAAAAGTCAGGTCTCCCACAAGCCAGCTTTTACAGAGGCAAAAGGACCTGTCTATTTTACCCTTTTCTAAATTTTACTAGTTTCAGTTTTCAGGTTTTTTTCTAATTACCACGCATACGTAAGGCTAAGCACATATGTGAGCATAATGCACAGAACACCCACTGAAATTAACATAGCATTATATGGTTCACACTTTGAAAGATATTTGTATTATATTTCAACATACCCATTCATCCTGGTCAATAACGTATCTATAGCATAGATTATGTAGTAGACTCCTAATCATCTTTTCTGTATACTCACTCTTTGTTGTTTTGGAAATAAAATTAGCAGATGGCTAAAACCTCTAAAGATGAATCAAACTTCAAAAGGCATAAGTTCTTATAATGTGCAGTAATTCCACACCAGTGGCATTACACTGGCATAAAGCCACTTTCAAGTATGGCTAGAACAATGCTGTTTATGCTTATGTCAGCACAATGTGAGAATCTGTGCTGAAAATACAAAACAAAGAGTTGCAAACTATTAGCAGGAATGGCAGCAGATAATTAGGTTTCCCTTCAAATGCATTTGAAAATATTCTACATAGATCACTCTGGAAGTAATGCCACCTATTTTTCTCCGTGGAAACTACAACATACAAAGATCACAATAACACTATTTGATAAAGCTACAAAACACTATCCTTCAATTTAGTCACCACCATTAGCTATTCATCAGTCTGCACGCCACACTCATCAAAATCTGCACCAGTGGAGGCAATCCACTGTTTCTGTTGCTGCTGCTGAAACACACCATCCATCGCCTCACTATTCTTACTGTGCTCACATTCACTTGCTCTCCAAAAACGTTCAGCAAGCACCAGTGAATGTCAATGGGTGCCATTCTTTCTGCATGGAGGAATTCAATGACACACCTTTGCTTCATATGCACATCTATGCCACACGTCATTCTGTCAGACTGCATCACTGCTGCCATCCACTGCACGACAACAAAACGTTAGGAAATACTGATGGGAAGGTTCATCCTCTACTGCCATACCATCAACATCTGCCTCTGACATCATGGGCCAACATAATAAAATCGGAGGCATTACTTTCAGAGCAGTCCTCGTAGTATCCAGATACATAGCCTAAAAGATCCCATGAGAACTGCTGTGAAAATAAGCAAGAATAAGTAAAAAGTGAAAACATCCTGTACTACTGTCTATGCTCAAGCAACTTATGACCAGGGTTTTCCTTCCATAGTTAATGGATTCACTTTTTTCACTGTAAAACATCTAATAAAAGATGGTATTCCTAATTCACTTTTGTAATCTGAAGGAAAAATAACAACAATGACAAAACTCCCAGGCCTTTATTTCCTGAGTTAAATAGCAACATTTCTGTTACTATTTACAGAAATGGGGCTGAAGCCATCAGAGTAGTTTAACCCTTAATTCCTTCCAGGAGCATTCAAGCTTGGAAGTCATTGACTCCATTCAATACCTTTTATATAACGAAATACTTCACTTCAAATAAAGTTGCAAAAATCAAGATGCTGGACCAAACCCAAGTTTCTCTTTAGTATTGCCTACATAAAAACACATCTTCTCAATCATCAAAATACCAGTTGAAGCTACTCTAACATTAAACTTCACTGCAGTAATTTTGCATGTTTACATGCAATTAATTATTTTTAAGGCAAACAAAGAACAGCATAGTTGTTTTGGTCTCTGTTAGAACAGGTTGTTGTAAATAAACTATTAGAGATTTATACTATTCGTGAAGTATACATATCTTCATGAAGTACACTGCACTTAACTGCACTTTGTTTGCATGCTTCTTTCTTTATGAAACTGACATTTTCAAAATAAAGCAGCAGCAAAAGTCTCAATCCAAAAACATACTTTTGCAAAACAGACCCATGTTGTTATGCCACACAAGCAAGATGCTACTTCTAAGGAATATTTAACATATTTTACTTTGACAAGATACTATGTGACTTGAATTTCTTCCACTGAATTTTATATTATAGCGTTGGTAGATGAATAAACTTTCCTAAAAACAATTATTATTGGTAAAAATCTCTCCAGCACTCATTAGATGGTTTGGATAAACTTCGGGAAAGCTCTCAGAATAAAACATGAATGTTTCCTGCCTTCTGTTTGCCATAATGTGCTCCCAAATAAGCAAGTTATCCTCTGCAAAAACAGCTACACTGGAGTTCAAGAATTTTATCAGATTAAAATTAGTTAAAAATCTAAGTAGCAAAGCCTGAAATTTCTTCTTCCAGACTTTAGCATCTAAAGCAAAATTTTAATTTACAGCATTAACTGTAATGTCATTAACACGATCAAATTTCACAATGTGAAGTATTTGCTTCCCTCTCCTTTGTGTGCATTGTTCATGCTAGGAATACACTGTAGACTTAGTTACATTTATTTTAGGTAGATGTACAGCTTATCGGTGAGGGTTTTTTTTTTTTTATATTTTATTTTATTTTTTTACCTGCAGTTCATTTGCCTGTAAGTGATGTTAATAAGCAGGGAATCAGCTCAAAGCTCAGTGAGGATGCCCCACCCCATGAAACATCAGGGCTGGTATTTAATTCAGTCATGAAAGCATGGAATTGAATATAATACCAGGGTGTGGGCCCTAATCTTCATGCTTCATTGTACAATATGTGGGCCAAAAGAAGAAACTACACAGTAACGACAGCACTCAAAAAGTATTTTAAGGTTTTAGAAAAATCCTGACAGAGCTTTAAACAGTAATAGTAAATAATAATAACAATATTATGCATGGAGGATTCTGGTTTTTTAAACTTTGTTTTTACATCAGCTTCAGTAGAGGAGTCAGCAATGTAGTGAAATATTAGAAAGCTCAATGTCATTATTCTTATAGAAAAAATCTCCTCTAACAAGACCAAAATTGAGAAAGCTAACTAGATAAGCAATTTCCCCTGTCGTTAATTTTTAAGACTGGTTTGGAGCAATCCACCATGCATGAACTGATTTCTAATGCAAGTACGTCCTGTCGGTAAGTAGTCTAGTTTCCTCCATACTGTTTTTGTGAAGCTTAATCCATCACAGAGCTTGGAAATGCTGAAAAACGCAGCATAGATTATCTTGGAGACCTAAATTCCCTATGAATGTAAAAACAATGGAGCAAATAATAATACTATGTTTGTAATTGGGAGGATGCCTCCTGCTCTATTTAGTGATTTTAAATGCTGGGAAAAAGGCTTCATTGTACAGGGGAGAAGCATAAAAGCAAAACAGAACAGTAAGAGGGATATGGATTGAAGACAAAAAAACGATAAATTATTATAAGTGCATTAGTGGAACTGTTATTCTGTTAAGAAAATGAAGCCAGGTTCATATTAAATAGTCAGAGTGTGATAGAGCTTCCATTGCACAGAGAACATGGAGAAGGTGAACTGTTACTGAGCTGTTATAGCACAGTATCAGAGGATGCCAGTAGCTGGAATCACGGCATGTTCTTGTAACGAGTCTATTTAAGGAAGAACTGCAGAGAAGAAAGAAGAGAGGACTGCTAAGGACAGCAGAGAGTCTGGCTGTATCTCTCTTCACCTTCTCTTTCTAAAGGTGGGAAAGGAAAGGACCTGCTATCTTTTGCCCTGGAGCAGATTGAGTCGTTAGGAGCAAACGCTAAGTACAGACCATATTTTTACTGTCTCTAGCCTGCCTGCACTTCCGGAGAGAGAGTTTAAATATTCACATCTTCTTCTGTCAGATAACATCGGCACTGCACACAGCCATTTCAGAAAAGAAGGTTTTTTATATTCTGTGATTAAAAGAAAGACAAAGGTACACACATGCTTATATTTTCAGATATGACTGTGCAATTATTTGCACTAAAACATGCCTATATTTGCACTCCTGCTGTGTCTAGTCTGCTCAGAGGCTCTTGCAGATAGAATAATAAATTTGCATGTACGTCTACATTCTCTTACAGTCACTTCACATACGGTTTTGAAGATGTGGGGAAATATCACACCACACACAACATCAATCACTGGCAGGAAACCCTGCAGTTCATTGAGTTAGCCCTCCTTGAGCCTGATCAAGTACCACTCAGGAGGGCTGAGGCAGAGCAGAAGATGCACATAATTAACATAAACCGTTTTGAACACAGATATTCATAGGCATGTAGGTTTTCAACCTCAGCTGAAACGAATGAGAATTTGACACCTAAATGCCTGTGGAGACATGAGACTTCCACCATTCTACCTCGGGGTTACTTGTTTTCTCTCCAGCTCCCTCTGGTGTCCTAAACAATCTGTTATTATCAACTCAGAGGACTGCAATACTGATTTTGCCACAAGACACAAGGTGCTATGTGGGCACCCCCCTGTGACCTTGGATACACTGCCTAGCTGAATTCACACACAGTGTAGAACACTTGTGGAGTGCCTGAACTGGCTCTCGGTGCTTTCCAGGATGCTTGAGAAGCAGCTATCTTTATCAAGCCTCACCTGGCACTGAGGAGGTTACCCAAGGGAAGAATTTGGAGAGCAGTAGTACAGCCTCACAGTTAAAGAAAAACATTATTTTACAATGGATTTTAAAGACATTCATCCACAGAAAAAACAAACCTTGCTAGAAGCACATTCTCATCAATTTGCAATGGCTAACATTAAAAAAAATCATACTCACCATCTCCAGGCACCGACATGAAATGAGCATCAACCCGCTTTTCATCTTCTCCATACTCATTCTTGGCCAGTAAGGTATAAGCACCATTGTTCAGGTGGGTTGGGTTGTCCAGCTGCAGGCAGCCATGGTATTCACTTTGATTGATAACATGTATTTTAGTACAGATGTATTCAGACTCATTCAATATAGCTCCTTCATAGAACCACTGCAATGTGGGCTTAGGGTTCCCTTTCACAGTGAATGGAATGCACCAGTGGTGGTCCGGGGTTGGAGATTCAATAAATGTGATATTTGGTGCAACTATATTGGAAAAAAGAGTGAACAACATCAGAATATCTGGAACACATCTTTTCCCCACTCCCTTAAGTCATATTTTTCATTCTCAAGTATCACAGGAACTTACTTGCAGGAATGATACCTATTCACAGCACACTCAAACAGGAAGCTCATCAGCTCTGTATAGGTTACTATACTTACAACAGAAACAAAGCCATTCTTCAGAAAAGAAAAACTAACTATACTTTATCTAAAGACTGAACGCCAGTTAGATCCCATACCTGCCAGGTGTGGGAAATTCAGTTTCTGGAGAAGGAGAAAAGAGCAATTTTATCTTTACTCTGCGGAAGAAAATGGTGCAGAGCAGTGCTGAAAGAACAGAACAGCATTGAAAATATGTAAAAGTTGGCCCAAAGCAAGCAGTACTGGAAATATCCTTTGTCAGGAATCCAAACTTTCAGATGATTTTCCTCACAGAATCAAAGCCAGTACAGATGATTTCATTCCCTGGATTATTCTGTCAGGGAATGACCATTCTTTACTACACGTTTTCTCATTCTTTATTCAAACCTGCTAAATGTCTCAAGTTTACAGACTTGTTCTGTTTCCCTCAGGAGACTATTCCAACACCTTGCTCTTTATTTCACTATTGGGAAATTTTCCTTGATATTTATTCTTAACTGCATCCAATTTCATCTAGTTACACTCCCTTTTATCACTCATAACAGTGCCAAGCACAGAATCTCATTTACACTGTTGAAACATTTCTAGTTTATGTTCCTTCCCATAGCTATTACATATCCAATTTCAACCTACAAGCCATTTGAAGTAGATCTATAGTGATTTTTTTTCTAGTTTTCCCTGTTGTGAACACATACTGAGCAAAGTTTGCCACCTACAAAGAGTTCTGTTCCGATCTTCAATTAAACAGAGGGTTGCAACCTGTGAAAAAATGCTGTCTAGTTCACACAAAATTAATTCAGGCTGGGATCTTCGATCTAAGTAGCCAATTTCTCCATATCTCATGCTTCTTACCCCTTTTTGGTCCTAACAAAAAGCACGTTATTCAAGCCATGACAAATAAATTTACATCTGGCAGTACAAATGTTTCAAGTGTGTTATTTTCTGAACAAAACAGTTTTTGCTGTAGATAATACAAACTTTTTAACATTTGCAGCATCTTACAGTTAATCCTATGCATTCTTAATTCCTAAGATAGTATGTATGTATATGCACATCACTACAAACCTTCCCACACTGGCAATGCTTTGGCTTTCAGACTATTGTTTACTGGTTATCCTAACTGAAGATAAAGCATTTAGAAATGTATTTTTTGCAGAACACAGAGTAGAAGAAGACAAATTCAGCAACTTCTGGTTGGGCTGTTCCCAGTATTAACTGCAATAGGCTGTTCGTATGCTTCAAAGGTGCTCCTGTTTTAGCAACCTGTATAGCCCAAAAATATTTATACCCAAAAGAGCCGTTAATAATGGGGTTTGGCCTCAGGAGCTGCATGGAGGCCTGGGTACGTACAGAATACCGTCAGTTCTGCAGAGGTTTGGACCTCTCCCACAATGTTCTCCGCCACACACGAAATCCACAGTCCGCTGTCCATGGATGAAACATTCTTTATGGTTAACGAGGCAGGATTCTTACTTGTATCACTCTACAAATGATCAGAAAAACATGCATGTATCAACTGCAGCCTAGAGAAACAAGGGAAAGGCGGGGTATCACTGGCCACAACTCAACAACATTTTTTGACTTCCTTTCTCCTTAGTTCTATCAATCTGTAATTAATCAAAATGCTACTTGGCATCCTATCCAGCAGACATAAAACACAGAACCAATTGTAACTATCAGGGGCTGAAGTTTGAAAAATGCAGTCCTGCAGTAAACACTGTACTCATCCACTTCTTTGTCCTGTCCCAGCCAGATTCTGCCTTTTCTGAACACTTCCACTGCTGCGTTCTGAGCTCTGATGTCTTTTCCCTCATCCCTTCCCTCACCAAATTTCTCTTAAAAGCTTCTTCCTCTCATAAAACAATTCATGAGAAATGACATACTTTCCAACATGCTACTGCCCAAGTACTGTTTTATGTGTTTACATACTAAGGCTAATTAAAGTAAGAATTATAATTCTTAGAACTCTTGATTATTGTGATTCTTAGAAAGTTCACAGCACCTGTTTAGCCTAAATGCCATATTAAATATGCAGCTATGCTACACTTCACAAAGTAAAGAGGACCATATTATAAAAAAATAGTAGCCAGCAAAACTAGTTGTCAAAGACAAAATTTTTTTAAACCAGGTCATTCACATTATCTCCAAATAATTACTATTTCCACACTTGAGTATTTCATAAAATGCAAAGCTACTTTCTTAAAAATGAATAGAATCAAAACACATTTGGAGAATAAGCAATAATTAGTATCCTTTTTAAAAACTCCTTTTGAGGTACTTTTCTTAGTCTACACATACACGTCAGTGCTACACAAACAGATAATGCACCTGTAAAAGCAGTGACTTTCAGCAGCAGCCACTGGGGACACACAGGAACAGTTCTGCATACAGAACTGGAACTTTGAACCTTGAGGTGACACCTTAACCCCGTGTGAGTTAAGTGCCCCACTGATATCAGTGTGACACTGAGGGAGGCAGAGTGGAAAAGCCAGCAGCTCACTGTACATTTCTCCACACGCAGCCCTTAGAAATGAGCAGTGCTAAAAGGAGGATTTACAAAAGGGGTTCCAAACACAGATTCGTGGCTGAAATCTATAGCAAAAAAAAATCAGCATAAAAGCTGAACGTGTGGTTAAATCTGCAGGAATAAGGTACAATTTTAATTTTTGTTAACATTTCTCTCTGTAAAACACAAAAGAGAGAAAAAGCAGGCAAAAACAGCATAGGAGGTGAAGAAAAGGGAGGCAGAAACACAGATATGAAAGTGAGAGGAATGAAACAAAAACAACACTTGCAGAAAAGGGAAGGATAGTTGCAAATGAGAAATGAGGTTTAAAAGGCACTCATTCTTCCGCTACTGAAAAGACTACTGTGCTCCACAGCTAAAGTTGCAGCCAGCTTATGCCATGAGCCCCTCTGAAATCTCACACATGAAGTTATGCCAGGACAGAGTATTTCTGGAAACCTTGAAGCAAACTGAACACGGCGTTTCAAAGATAGGAGGGTTAAAAAATGAAGTGATCTCACTTCTTGAACAGCATCCCACATTTGTTTTGGCTCATAACTAAAAAAAAAGAAAAATAAATGAAGAAAAAGCACAGCTTGGCATAGGTTCCCCAAACGGTTCTAATTTCTTGTTCTTTACGACGACTGGTGCCTTTGGGTAGTTTTACAGATTAGAGGAAAATTTAAAAATAAAACTAGAGCTCTGCAGAATTCTTACTCATGGAAGCTGAAAGACATACTGATCAAACCCTGTGAAGACCCAATATAATGACATCAAAGCAGAAAGTGCAAAGATTAAGAGGTCCCAGAGGTCCTGGTACTTCTACGCTACAGAAAAAGTTTTAGAAGTACACATCTCACACTTTGCACACACCAGGAATCTTCAGGCAGCCTCATACTCATGAACAGTAGAAAGTCAATGCCATAGAAGTGTAAATAACAGAAGGCCTTACACCATGAAAATTAATGGAATTTAAGGGTCAGCAGCTGTATGTGAAAGACACTGCTCCTCATCAGCATCTCCATCAGAACAAACTGTCTCCACTGCACACACAGTCCAAGGCAAGGACACAGAACACGAGGATTTTAGAAAACAAAAGTCCTGCTGCCTGGATGACTTTGTTGAGGGAATGTCTTCACACTTCATAAGAAAATGCCATTTTTTTTTTTGTAACCTTTTAATTAACTTTTAGTGACCTTGACTTCCAAGACTTCATTGTTGCTTTGTTTTGTTGAAGAAAAATGAAAAAAAACACAAAATAATACCAACAATCAAAACTGTCAAATCAATAGGTGATATGGTCACCAGGGTTTTGGCTTGAAAACGCAATACAATTTGCAACACAAAGCCTTTTTCATGATTAGGATATGTAAGATTTATTCCCTCTGTGTAGGTGCTGAGAAAGCACTTTTGTTTAGTATCCTTATTCACTGTATAACATCCAAGAAATTACAGTACTCTCATTTACAAATCTCAAGGAGCAAATGTTTGACATTTTCCAGAACCACTGCAGCAGTTAGCCTGGGTTGAAAGTAACTGGAAAATAAATGTTATCCCAACATTAATCTTCATCTTTTTGATAAGAAGCTAGCTAAAGCTTGGACATGAACCTTCATTCCATCCACAAGCAGATATCTCTGAATTGTCACCTCTTTGAATATGAAACTTACCTCATGGTTTGAAACAAGATTAGTGAGCACCCAGGACACATTAGGGGGTGGCCCTCCGGTTGTATCACAGTACAGTGTGATGCTCTTTCCTTCCACCACAGTGATGTTGTAATTGCTTAAGTTTGCTGAGGGTAAGTCTATGACAGAAACAACAACAACAAAAAAAAACATATGTATTTGCTTTTGACTGAAATAGGTGCTGCTCAATTCTATACAAACTGTATAAATGCAGGCAAAAACACCCCACTAATCTAGATATTCACTGTGGTCAATTGCCCACAGTTCAGTCAGGGAGTACAAACAGCATCTTTGGAAACATATAACAACAATCTTTAAACTGCTACATAACATTTTTCTTCTCTGCCTCCACTTTGCATCTTAAGAAAAAATTACTGGAAAAACATTCAGCTAATTTTAAAGGAAAATGCTTCAGGTGGGCAAACAGAATTTATCTTCAGTTTTTAACTTCAAAATAACCATTCTCCCTCTTATTTGTTAAACCAGAAATTTAATCTATCTCTCTGTTACAGTTGCAAAAGAATCCTTGTTTTCCAGGATCTAATTGGCATTGTGGTGCTCTCACTGTTCTCCACAGCACCAAGAGGAAAATCCCACCAGCCCCCTATATCACACAGAGATTGTAGCCTTCCCTCTCATGCAAAGTTCACAGAAGGCACAGCAAAACTCAAGTATGAGGTGAAGGAAACAAAGCACTGAACAAATCAAACTAGAGGAGAGGATGTTCAGAAGTGCAGGTTGGCTACTGTATAGAGCTGCTGTTTGAGGCACGCCAGCAGACTTAGCTATTGCCCCCAGGAAAGCAGAAAAGCAATATGGTGGTACCAGGGAAACAGCCTAGACTTTGCAAGATCCAGCACTTCCCCTCCATTTCATAGCTATAAACCACTTCACACCTCCATTTTCAGCACCTAAAGCAATGGGAATTTCCAGAAGAATAATATGTGATACACAAGGAATAATAATAGATCAACCATCTTCAAAAATAATGCCAGCATTATTTTTAGTTTCTAGCATGCAGGACTGACTTCTAGCACACAGGAACTCACTTGTCACACATTTCTTTACAAGGCAAATAATCATTAATCATGCTAAAAACATCAGATTTTTCTTAAGTCATTCTATGCTTTTCCATGGAGCTGCTACACAGTGTCCAAAGCCTTGCCCTCCTTTAAGAGGCATCATCCGTCAACTGTTCCAGGCAAGTTTTACCCAGAGTTTATGATCTCAAATAACCTAACCCATCTGCTCTGCTGGATGTGTATGCATGATCTCGCAACTACTTTTCTCTTTCTAAAACAATGATCCTCCTTGTTTTGTTTTATTTTTCTTTCTTCTCTTTTAAATTAGAGTACTGTAGCTTCATCACAGACTTGCAGGTATAAAAGTTTAAAGAAGAACTGCTTTACTTATGTAAAAAGTCCCAAACAAACAATTAACAATCTTATTAGTGTGCACTGTAACATTTTAATATGTTTGCTTAAACTTCAACAGTATTTATACGTATTGGAAATCTCAGGTTTAATTAGTTCATTAGAAATGAAATGAGAGGAACTAATAGCAAAGAGAAGACTAATTGTTTTCCAAGCAGTTTTCTTGCCTATTAAGATCAGCACAAGTGTACAATAATTGCTTAGACAACTCTACTTCTTTAAGCAGTAATATGATTCTTGTTATAGGTGTCATAAATTTATTCTGATATGTTCACTTTACAAATCATATGTTGAAGTTTACTGAGACAAAGCTGGACAGTCTGTACATCTCAATGCAGTAATCTGTTAGCAAAGGTAGCCATCTGCTCTCGCCTGCTGTGAATTCAAATCTCAGCAGTGTCTGTCAACTAGTATGGCAGGAAATAAAACTAATCTTAGGGAACATTCGGATATTAATTACACTGGTTGAGGAACAAGGAGAGAAGTAATGAGATCATCTACTACATAAAGTTATCCCTCCACACTACTTTGAAAAACATTCCAATTGCTTTTGCCATACCTGAGAGTATGAAGACTGTAAGGCTCCCTTCCTCTTCCATTACCAGGGACAAAGTATAATGATAGATTGATGTATCACAATGCAAATCTGCATGGTTATTACTAGCACATGATTTTACATGAAACCTCTCATATAAGCAAAAAGCATCTTTGGTCCCTTAAAACTCTCCTTCAGTAGCTGTTAAGTTCTAAAACAACCTCTTCCTATTGTGTGTTTACTTACAGGACAGACAACAGAAATTGAATTCCTCTGGTACTGACTCTGGTTCTCACTAAGAATTAGATCAAGTTCTATTCACTTGTTAAAGTCTGCATGTGCCATCCTGGTGTTACATCCCTGAGTAAAACAGCTACATCATGCTCGTAACTGGCCAGAAGGTTATAAAATGACAGTGCTTTTTATTCTGTAGGGTCTTAAAATTATATTAAAAACCAGTCGCCAGATCTTACAGAAAACAACACAGTAAAAAGTGTGTAACTGTTATATGAATTACGTTATAGTATAGAATCATAGAATCATCATGGTTGGAAAAGACTTCCAAGATATCCAGTCCAACCATCCACTTACCACCAGTATTTCCCCACTTAACCATATCTCTTAGTACAACATTTAAACATTTCTTGAACACTTCCAGGGATGGTGACTCAACAGCCCATTCCTAGGGGTGGCCACCAGCAACAGGCACAACTCCCCAGTTGCTCCATGTTATATCCCTCTGACATCATCACCTAAAAAGGCCCCTTCCTGGACCACAAGCAAGGTCACTCTGCCTGTGTCACTTTTGACAGATTTGTTTAATTTAGAATTAGACTTCTTCTGTATCAGAATTATTTAAAACATTTCTGAGTAATTAGTTGCATTCAATTTGATCAAGCGTTAAGAGTATATCACAGTTGAATGTTGCCAAATATTTTCAATGAAACTATTCACACATATAGTACAGTATAGCATAGTATAGCATAATCACATAGTTGTATGTGTTTTTCCTTTTATTTTCTTTCACAGACAAAATAGGTGGGTGGGAAATAAAGAAGAATTGCTTTGAGATACACTTTTTTTTCATTAGATATATTGAGTTAGTGAACTCTAATGGAAGGTCATTTTGTCCCTTGTATCAGGTGTCATCCAGACTGCTACACACACAAATACACATTAGTTGAGAGGTGGCTCTTTCTGGAAAAAGCAGATAGTAAAATAAGACCTTATACCTAGAAAAGGTGATGTATTGGCCATGTCAGCAAAGCTGTGAGATCAAGTCACAAAACCTGAACCAACAAATAAATGCATATAAAAAACACACTGCACCCTGACAGACACCCTGACACATATGCTCAGTATGTGTGCTCAGCGTATGTGAGTTATCATTTATAAGAGTCAGTATCATTTTGACACCTACACAATCACAAAGATATCCAACCATGCTGCAGTTCTTCCTGACTTAATTTGACTTAATCTGGAAAGAGTCCAGCAGAGGGCTACAAAGATGGTGAAGGGCCTGGAGCATCTCCCCCATGAAGAAAGGCTAAGTGATCTGGGTCTGTTTGAGAAAAGAAGACTGAGAGGGGACCTGATCCAGGTCTATAAATATCTAAGGTGTGGGGGGCAGAGTGGCGAAGCCAGACTGTTTTCAGCAGTGCGTGGAGACAGGACAAGGGGAAACGGTCAGAAACTGCAGCATAGGAAGTTACGTACAAATGTGTGCAAGAACTTCTTTATGGTGAGGGTGACGGAGCATTGGAGATATTCCTTCTCTGGAGATATTCAAGACCCGCCTGGACACCTACTTGTGAGACCTGGTGTAGGGAACCTGCTTTGGCAGGGGGGTTGGACTCGATGATCTCTGGAGGTCCCTTCCAACCCCTACAATTCTGTGATTCTGTGACTCTATGTGACTAAATACAGTATTTTAGATAACTATCACTTGTGTTGATATGGATGTACATTTTAAAGGACTTTGTATCTAGTAATTAATACAAGCAATCAAACAAGTTCAAATAGTTTTGTATACTGCCAGCACAGTTTTTAGGCAGCACCACAAGAGCCCACGCAAGGTAGACATGACATCATCTTCCCACAAGTCTCATCCTGATATCTGTCAGACAGAGATTAACCTATGCCCCAAAGCCTGAAACATAATATCTCTTTCAAACTTTGATAGCATTCATTTTTATAATTCTGGATATCAGTAATAACCCTGCTAGTCTACGATTTATTTTTCTAAGTTTGTTCTATTCATAGCTTTCTGCAGCAATGAGCTGTACCTTCCAGGCTGTAAGCAAGAGCATTCCATTTAACTAGTTCTGAAATTTGTCTCTGAAGTTCAGATTTATTGAACTCCTGCACAGTTGTGAGAGGACAGAAGTTTCTCAATCGTTTTTTTAAGACCGCTCTATTTTATTTGTTATTCTCATGTCACTTTTCTTACTAATTAACTACCCAAAGCTTTTCAATCTCTCAAAAAATGGGAGGACAGAACTTGCTATTGAATATTCTAAATTGTAAACTCCAGTTTAATGGCTGGTAGCAAGCATACACTAAAATTGATGTCTTTGAATTCATATAGGAACAAACTATATTATTTATAGGCTATAGTATTCCACCACATAGAGAAAATCTGCTTTCATGTTCAAATTGGCAATATTTTTATCCAAGTAATAAGTAGTTCTTGGTTAGGACAAGCACAACTCACAGGCAAGTAGGAAGGATTCATTTTTGTCCAGTGAGTCTCTACTTATCATGTTAAGACTTAGAAGGAACAAACCCTCACTTAAGAGAGCACCTCTATCTTTACACACCACTGTTAGTGCAAATCAGTGGCTTGAAGGCTGTATTACAATGGAACAGTGAAGCTATCTTCTATTCTTCAGAGTGCACAGCTGGGACTTCAACAATCACTTTCAGCCAAATACTTTGGCTGAAATTTTCAAAGGTTACTACAGCATTTGGCTAAATAACTGTCAAAGAGAATTAAGAAAAAGAATATGTCCAAATTCCTAGAAGGCTTTCACAATCTTCATGCTGCTTCGTACTACCTTCTATAGAAAATATACACTGGCCTTGGTAGAGCCAAATGGGTGATATATCTACCAAAGGAAGTGTTTAATCTAATTAAGAAACAGCTAAGAAC